TGAACTTGCTTTTGACTTTTGCAGTGTCTGTACCAGGGTGCTAACAAAAATCTTACTTTTGAAAAATTACCCCATATCGCAATGACACCATGGCATATATATATGTGTTTGTGTGTGTTTATTTTTAGTATATAGATTTCTCTTTTAATTCATTTATTTTTAACTGATTTTTGATTTCTAGGCTTAAGTCCTCTGGATGGTTTAGTAACATTAGATAATCCTTTACATAGTTTCTTTCCACTGTCAAACTGCTTGGACAGTTCTCCAAGTTCTTGTTTATTTACAACATGGTTTCCCTTGCCTTTCTATTTGTGTTAAATAGTTCCTGCATTTTTGCTGTTTCCTTCAGGCATTTCTGATATCATCAGTAATGGTGTCTTTCACATTTTCACAACCATTGAGACTGTTAACATGTGCGAGTCTAGTGTTATACTTTTTCTCCACACTGAACTCCCGTTCCTTTTCTGCTGCTGAATGGTGAATACTGAGTAAAGCTAAAGTTTTGACAGAAGTGGGAACCTCTGAACTGAAACTAGCTCCCCACTCTCAATCATCATGCTGGTCATCTTTCTTACTTTAAACCAGTATTCAGACACATCTAGTAGCACCTTTTTGACTTTCGTCTTCATCTGACTGCTGAGATTTATACCAAGAGCTTGGAATGTCAATTGCACCTTGGTAATCTCTGAACAAAGGTTATCCCTCTCTGGGTATGCGATCACATTAGTACATAACCTTAGCTTCCAATGTTTCATCTTTACGTTTCTCAGGGTTGAAAGCAGACAGGCTAATGGCAGTTTTGTTAGTTGATTGGATTTCACAATAATGTACTAACTTTTCATCTGCTTTAGTGTTAAACTTGTTGACACACTTCATAAATTCTTTGAAAACGGGGATGTGTGATTTATTGTTCACTGACTCCATGTACGCCTGTACCTCAGATGGCAACAGTATTTTGTTATCAGACAAAATGTCTCCTTCATGAATTCAACTCTAACAAAATCGCTATAGTTTTCCAATTTCTGCATAACAGAATTTTTAACAAAAGTTGAAAGATTATCATGGAGAAGCTTAACAACAAGCTGCACATGTATCAGTGGTTCATCTTTTTCTAGCACTTTGATAGATGCACAGAAACTAGTTGTAACGTGCTGTAGGAATAGTAGATTCAACTTAACAGTGGTGTTGCATTGCTAGTGAACTGTGTGACAAATCTATACTTTCGGTTTCCTGAACCCTCTGTTTTTTCAGACTTTGTGAGTTTCTCATAGGTGTACATGGCTTCCAGAGCATTGAGCTGTTCGAAAACCCTTGCAGAACAAGATTGGATGATAATCCACCTAAAAATACATAAAAATAAGACAAATGCATAAATTTGTATTCTAGGAATAACACATTTAACGTGAAAAATGTTAATGTAGACTAAGTAAACTCTCATTTAGACTGTAAAATTCAAGTGGAAATTGTTAAAACAAAATCAAATGAAATAATATATAAAACAGCAATAAATGGTAATTCCATTATTCATTAAAGATAACACAATTTCAAATTTTAACAACACCATTACTCACCAGATTCTAAATCAACACTGATTCCTTAATGTATATGTACATGTATTAGCAAGAAGACGTAATACACCTGGTACCCATCAGGTGAAGTTTAAAAAAGCACTAAAACTACAGCTAGACTATTCTAATTCATTAGAACTAATATGGTGATAGATTGCTGTACACCTCATGCAATATGATGTAGGCCCATATAATTTTTATATAAAAGTTTAACTCAAGTACCAAAATGATTACTGATATTCATATTTATTTCATAATTTCACTCTGATACTAGTTTTACACTTGCAAAATTTGATATGACACTAATCCTGGTACTACTCATAAAACAACTATGGCAGCCTCGTCTCTGAATTTAGAGAATGTACAATAAAATGACTTAGCCCTTCCTTAAACAGATGATAGAATAATGCAATATTGGCATTTATCATATGGGGTTTAGTTGAGTAAGAATTTCATCAAACTTTCAAAAGATTATCCTGCAAGCCTAATGTAGTAAGTACTAGATCCAGTGAGCGATAATAGGGCACACTGATAATTATTCATATTTATGCCGCCGCACGGCTTCCGTAGGTTTAGGAGATTATCTCCCTTTGTGGAACTCATATGTGTTCGTTTAGTCAACGTTTTGCGTATGTGCGGTGATAGGAAATCACAACGTTTGCACAACTTGCAGCGACCACGGTGTGAGTATTGTAAAGTTTGGAAAAAATAATTACTTTTCATGCTTAGGATGTGATTTGATTGTGTTCCGATCGCTGCCAATGAAAATAACTGAACTTTTGTTACTGTTTACCAACGAACGTGTTTTGGTGAATGGATCCTTCATGACGTTAATTTGAACTTTATATGTGGTGATTTCACAGCTAAATGAATACACGGACAATGTTTAGAATTTATTAAGGTGTAACTGTCGAGATTTTCTACGATTTATTTGGTATTTGCCTATAATAGTCTATTCAGATTGAGCGAATTTTCTATGTATGGAAGCCCATATCTGTAAAAGATTGCATTGTGAGATACGATAAGGATAAGGTTCGTTTAGGTTTTCGTCGATTTCTAATGTCCATTCTCTTCGTTTCTTGTTACAGACTTTTACCACACTATTGTTACCTCAACGCTGGTAATAAAGGGTTAACTGGCTGAACATTGTATTACTGTTTTGACAATGCATATGGGTCAGCATAATATTCATTTTAGAATAGGCTATATATTTTCAAGTCATAAGTTACCTAACATGTCATAACACTTGGTACATTAAAATACGAAAAATAAAGTCACACAAACCCTGTATCAACCATACGCGGCATCGGTTTTTCTTGAATCCCAACGTTGATGCAAGCTTGTCGATATCTTTCTTTGTGTGTTTGATATTTCTCAATGTCGTAATAAAGATCAACACACATTGCTTTGATAGACTTGTAGAATTCTATCATTGCATACTTAACTGTGCTATATGGTGGTCAAGACATCCTCCAAGGTCCTGTAAACACTGTAATTCTGTAGACGTGTAATCACACCGCTTCGAGATCCCCTCATTGCTGGACAGCTATCCGTCTCAATTGCAACAATTTGACGTTAAAAGTAAATCCCGGCTTCCGCAAATGCCTTTTCAAGAGCGTTTTACAATTAAAACAGAGTCCCTTTTTCCGATTACGTTTTGAAAAGCTCACGCACTATTTTCCCCATATGTTTGTTCAAGTATCGTGCCGATATGGCCAGTTGGCTGGTTTTCAGGATCGTGGACTCGTCAATATTTATACTAAAAAATGACCCCGTCAATCTGTTCGTTAAATTTTCCCTGTAGAACGGTCCTAACCCGTGCGTTATAACATATCCTTGTTTAGATTCGGATAGTGAAAACCGAGATGCAATTTTCGATTCCAGAAACGAGGCTGCGTCCGGTGTAACACCATGCATTTCTATAAAATGTAGGAACATTATTTCGGCATCTATAGTTTGGGATTCCAGTGATAAATTTGTTTTGTTTTTCTCCACCACCGCAGCGAAAGCTTCACTGATACTCCCGAAACAGTAGTTTGAAGCCACATGTCTTTCGCTCCCGCTATACTTAAATAAGGCTTCTCCCCCTTCTTTTATACCAAACGTTTGATTTGCAAAATCTACACTGAATATTGAATGTCTTTCTTGATAATCCAATGACCGTAAATACCATCGTTTAGATCTTGTGACGTTCGAAGCGATTCCAAGTAGTGTAGTACCATTTTTTTTACAACAGCCACGCTGTTAATTGACATGCAAGAGTCGTCTGACCTATTTACGTGGTAGTTACGTTAATCAATTGTGCTTACTCCCCACCACATCAAGTCAGACTGTTTTATCAGTTTCAAATTATCAATATGCTCTGAGGGGGTGCGTTTGGTACATGTAATTAGTGATCACCCCTCTACTGTTCTATTGCGAAAACGCTTTGGTTCATTGTGGAGGCGGGAACGCCAACTAACAAAATGGATATAGGAAAACAAAAACAAGAACGAACAACTACGGGACTCAAATCCGACGAACATATGCAAAATAAAGGGAAATATAGCAAATATCCTACTTTCCCCGACAAATTGTCCGAATTCCGACAAAAGTCGGAAAATCCGAAGCGGTACAGACACTATATAAAACTGTCATCCGCTAGAAGCTCTCAACACACATCTGTACTCTTCAGTAGTCGCATGGGAAAAGGTCGCACACACGGATCACGGGGTCGATCTCTGTCCTGCACGGGCAATTTCACAGTTGCTTGGTTTCCAGTCTAACCTAAAATGTATACACCGCCCGCGACACTACATGAGACCAAGACTAACGGGTAACACTATTGACCTGAACATTAAATGTGAAAATATGACATCTCTCCTTTTTTTAACTGAACGATCTTTAACACTAATAATAAAATGAGTTATATTTACCATATCAATATAAATTCGCAATGTTCTTGAACGCGGTCAATGAGTAGTATATCATTAACAAATCAAAGAATATATCGTGCCAGGAAATCATAACTAAATATTGTTTTGACCAGAAGTATAACTTTTTAAGCTATGTATATGTTAATATTCACTGGAACCGACTTGGTTTCCGAACTTCGCGACCTGATTTAGTTTTATATTGGATTTTGACTAAATCACTAGACTTATCCTCAGGACTGACACTCGTGGTTTCAACAATTGGGTTGCTGTTGGTAGGGTGGTCTTAAGCCACCTTCCCATGAACATTTGTGCGGGTGAAAGGTCAATTCCATCGATCGGTGGGTTTCGATAATCGAGTATGGCTAGGTATGGGTCATTTGCCTTCTTCAGTAGTCTGTACCATTTTTTCCACTTGACAACTTGATGAAGGATGATGTGGACTTGTGGTAGTGTTGAAAACCGTAGTCTTTTGAGAATTGTGTAAATTCCCGACTCGCGAACTGTGGTCCGTTGTCACTTATGACTTGGTCTGGAATTCCATATTTGGAAAACTGGCTCTTTGCATGGTTAATGAGCTGCTTGTCAGTCCTTGTAATTTTGAGATTTTAGACCACTTTGAGAAATAGTCTACATTAAGCAGGTAGTGTTGACCCTTGAGTTCAAATAGATCCATTGCCCATGGTCGGTTTGGTATGTCGTGGGGTATAAGCGGTTCCTTTGCGTTGCTGTTTGTGCGACTAGCATAAATGTTGCATGTGGCAACCTTCTCTTCTATATCAGTACTCATTCCTGGCCAAAATAGTACTTCCCTCGCGCGTGCCTTACATTTGCCCATACCAAGGTGCACCTCGTGTATCCGGTGAAGCATTTCTGGTCGCAGAGCCTTTGGAATGATCAGTGTGTGTTCTTTGAACATCAATCCATCAATGCAGACAATTTCATCGCGATAACTACAGTATGTTTGAATTTGTTGATCAACTTCCTGTTTGATTTCCGGCCAACCAGTTATTTGTTGTCTCAACCTTGACATCTCTAGGTCATTCTCTGTACCTTCTTATATGGTTTTGTACTTTTCTGATGACACCGGTAAATATGCCAACAAAAAGAGTTCACTGACAGCAAGATCCTCTACTAAACTTTCCTGTTTCCTCCAGGAATGCCCTTGATAGTGTGTCTGCCACATGTAACAATTTTTACGATAGACATTTTCATTTGAAATGTATTGATAACTTCCCTTCTGACGCGGAAATAGAAGATATTGAAAGTGATTACAACACGTGTTCACATTGTGGGTGGTTCATGAGACCAAGACCGAAAGTATGACTTTTAGTTCTAATTCATATGAATGGCTGAGGAACAGTGACATAATACAAGTTAGTTCAGACACACGGAACATTATTCGAATACTCGAATATTCGGAGAGAATTAGGACAATACTCATCAGTGTGTAAACAATATAATTTTATTTCACATTGCTATCATAGCTTTCCCCCCACAAACAACATAGTAATAGAAAACAAGGGAAACGGAGAGTATAAGACATTGGAGTTTAATTTTCATACAAATTTTAAGAATGGCTGCTAAAGATTTCAAACATTTTACACTTTCAAGAGGTCAGATTTGTCTTCAACTGGCATTGAATAAGACTAACCAGTCTGAGCGACATAAATCTACATGTTTACTTAATGAATTATCTGAGCTTGAGGAATATCTTGAGGATTCAGATGCAGATCCTGACTGGGCTCCGCCAAAGTCCTCAGAAGAAACTGTAGAAGATATTGATATAGCATGTCATGAGGATGAATCAAGTCTCAGCGAACTTGAAGAGAACATAAGTACGGGACCAACGAAGTCAAAAAAGGGGAGAAGTAATCCAAAACAATGGAAGCACATCCAGAATGAAGTGACAATCGTATAAAAGCGTACGAAAAACAGTGGATGGACAATACACAGAAATTGACAGAGAACCAAGACATATGGGCCCTCGTTGCTGTTCCAACCTCTGTCTGAGGAGCAAAATTAGACATTTTAAAATGAAACCAGGCAAGAGATATTTTCCAGCTTCTGGGACATGGATTTGTCTCAAAAAAAGATGTACGTTTCTACAATGGTGGATTCCACAAAGACAAAGGAACAAACAACAGAACAGGGGAACTCCGAAGGAAACAAAGTTATGTGTATCATTTGAAGAAAAGTAATGGTCGTTTTCAGGTCTGCAAAAGTATGTTCCTGTCAACTTTAGGTTTAGGAGAGTGGTCAGTACACAGTTGACTTCATACATCAAAGTCTGGAATGCACAGTCCATCGTCCGAGAATACTACACCTAAACGAGCTAGAGCTAAACCGAAACATGCGGCAAAGAGGGAAGTTGTAAACCGGTTTTTAGATTCCGTGCCGAAACTTCCTTCGCATTATTGCCGAGCCTCAACTGACAAGATGTATTTGGAGCCATGCATCAGATATCAGTTTCAGCTCTATCGCATGTATGTTGAACATTGCAAAGCAAAGAACAACGACCCATTGTCACAAACAGTGTTTAATGATGTTGTTAAAGACAAGAACATTGGTTTGTTCCAACCCAAAAAAGATCAGTGTGATGTTTGCTGTGCATTTGAATCTGGTAATGTAGAAGAATCAGAGTACAAGAATTCCAAACCAACTACTTTTTAATGGCCAGTACGAATTTGAAAATGTTCACCTGAAACAATTTTGCATTATCACCTTTTCAGAAAGTTATGCCCATTTTACAATTATTGAACACAATTTCCTCTGGCTATGCATAATCTCAGTTTTTTAGCTCATCTTACCCGAAGGATTAAACAACTTCTTATGATGAACCAAACAGCCTAAAAGTCTGATATTTTGCTGGTAGGTCATTTGGATTGCCCAACATCTGCAAAAAAGAAATAGAAGTGACCTTGACCCATATTCAAAATCACAGGGGTCAAATATGTGAAAACCTTTCAACGACTTACTCTAATGAATCAATCTTGGGTCAACCTCAAGGTCACTGTTACTTTTTATAGAAAATCCTTGTCATCACTCTGCAAACTTCATTTCTCAACCGATTTTGATCAAACTTCATTTATTGGTCAAGTATCATAACACCATAAACCAGTCTATGTTTCAGCATTCTGGGGTCAACCTCAAGGTCACTGTTACTTTTTATAGAAAATCCTTGTCATCACTCTGCAAACTTCATTTCTCAACCGATTTTGATCAAACTTCATTTATTGGTCAAGTATCATAACACCATAAACCAGTCTATGTTTCAGCATTCTGGGGTCAACCTCAAGGTCAGTTACTATTTATAGAAAATCTTTGTCATCACTCTGCAAACTTCATTTCTCAACCGATTTTGATCAAACTTCATGTATTGGTCATGTATCATAATACCTTGAACGAGTTCACATTTCAACGTTTCAGGGTCAACCACAAGGTCACTGTTACTGTTTATAGAGAATCATTGTCATTGCAGTACCAACTTCATTTCTCAAATGATTTTGATCAAACTTCATGTGTTGGCCAAGTATCATAATACCTCAAACATGTTCCTGTTGCAGCATTCTAGGGTCAACCTTAAGGTCACTGTTACTATTTATAGAAAATCATTGTCATCGCTCTACAACCAATTTTGATCAAACTTCATATATTAGACAAGTATCATAATACCTCAAACATGTTCCTGTTTCAGCATTCTAGGTCACCAATACTATTTATAGAAAATCTTTGTCATCGCTCTACGAACTTCATTTCTCAACTGATTTTGATCAAACTTCATGTATTGGTCAAGTATCATTACTATGTATAGGAAATCATTGTCATTGCACTAGCAACTTCTTTTTTTGTCAGATTTTGACCAAACTACATATACTGGTCAAGTGTCATAGTATCTTGACCAAGTTGGTGTTTCTATTTGCAAGAGTCAACCTGAAGGTCACCATTACTTTTTATAGAAAATGTTTCTCATTGCTCAAGCTTCTTTATTTCTCAGTGGATTTCTATTAGAGGGGTGCGTGGAGATTTGTATCACTTGTGATGCCTTGTTTTTATTAGTTTGGCTCTGTGTGAATATCGGTTTCCAGATGATAACTTGAGAAAGGATAAATGGATATAGTTAAAACTTTATACAATGCTAGATTAGTAAGAGATACAGACTGGTATAGAGTTTGGGCTTAAACGGTACTTCTGCAAAGGTCCCTTGCCTGAAAGATATATTTTTAGGTCATCTGACCCAAAGGGTCAGGATGACCTTGTTTTGTCATCACACGCCATCCGCAGTCTTTCCACATTTTGAACTTCTTCTCAAGTTCTAACCCGTGGGATTGTGCTGAAACTTGCCTAAAATGATCCTGAAATAGCCCTAACCAAGTGTTGATATTTTTCTGGTTGGTGTGAAATCCAATATGTTTGCAATGGCCTCTATGTGTTGTTTTTCGGGTCAATCTGAAATCCAATATTGCTGCTATGGCAGACATCTTGAAAAACACCTCCTCTGCTGTAAATTTAAATTTCAAAGCAACCTAGATGTTTCACTTTCAGAAATGAACAGCTGCTTCATTTAACAAGACTTTTGACACTTATCTCAATCCCACCAACACTATTTTAGTACTATTTGATTGCATGAAGTTTAAATAAGTACATGTACTTTCAGTCAACATTACAAATTGTCATCTGAAAGCCAAAATGTGACTATAGCATTTTAGCAAATAACCTTTGCGGTTTCGACCTCAAATATATAAGCACTTACTGAAAATGTGAAATATTGTCTTTTTCAGGTAACAATTTCTGGGAAAATTGTTCATCAATTTGAAACACAGATATTAACAACCAAATCCGGACGACAGCTACCACTGCAGAACATCATGTTAGCAGATAGTACAGCATCTGTCAAGTTAGCTATATTGGGAGAACACATTAAGCAGGTCACTTTGCAATCATCCTACCTGTGCAAAAATGTTGTCATAAAGGACTTTAAAGTGTACCCTGAGAGGTCAGCTATGTTGACCCTGAAAAATAGTTCTGCACATTAAATACCCTATGCCGAAAACGCGAATGCCGTGGAATGTTCCGTTACTGAGAAATTGCGACTTTTCTGAAAAACACACCTTTGGCTGAGAGGCGTTGACCTCGTTTTCGGGCACCCAAACCTCTGACGTCATAAGTTCAACACTTTTGTTGATGCAGCCATATTGTCTTTACTGTGCTACATGTGATTGTGATATTTTTTGGGATTTTCCGTGGTAAATTCTTTGTTTATTTATGTGAAAGTACTTCACATCTTCGCAATATCTAAGGTAGTGAACGAGGGGTCGGTGAATTAGTGCTTAAATCCGCTAAAATGGCTTCCTATCGAGGAGGGAAGCAGTGTGTATGGTTGTCCTAACACTAACACGGATGGGATGTCGATGCATGACGTCGATAAATAAAACCAGGGACGTACCTGATAAAACTGATTGTTGATTAAATAAAAGTATATTTTTTAGGTTGATATTTAGTTATTAATTCTACAATTAAACATTTTAAATTGATAGGCTAGCCTATGACTTGGGCGGTCATAGGAATATTATTCCTTCGTAATCGTGAACGCCTAATACTCGGAGAAGCCCTAGTCGTGAATGGGTCACGGGAATTTTCACCCCGAGAATTTTCATACTACTATTATATAGTATAGAATAGAATTATTAGAATTTATAGAATAGGTTATGTGTGTATGTTGTTTGTATAAGGTGTATTTGGTTTTTAGATCTTCCAGCAGACGATGTTGTTTAGTTATTAATTTTGCGATCGTAAAAATAACAATAAGATCACCAATCTTGATTTGCAAACACAGTTCACAGTGTAGAGATGTCATCTAAACTCATAATCACACCTGTGCCAGGTTAGGTAATTAGCACTTCAGTGGCTGGAAAAAACAATTGTGACACCTGTGAGGCGACACGCCTGTCGGCTAACAACAGACACGCACCAGTGCTAGGGTAAAAACCAGTCAAAGAATTGTTTAAACTTCTAAAACATCAAATTTTTATTATTAACACAGCGGAGGGTGTTATAATTGGTTGTTGACACCCTATCTATATATATCCATAGTGCTACGAAAATTCCCTGGAAAGAAAAATTCCCCTTGGACGAAACTTCTTCGGTAAGAAAATTCCAGACACCTCGTGAATGTATGCATAGTCTTGCACAAACGCGATTTCCCGACATCAGAAATTGTTGATCGAGACTTGAAGATAGTAAAATTAGTCCAAAACCACACCCAATTTTATTTTGTTTCTTTGAAACGACGATTCACTGTTCGACTACTTTCATGACTACTGGTGAGACCCAGTGAAGTACGTGCCAATCTATGTTGCCCAAGCGATCGTCACTTTTCGAAGGGTCATTTTCCTCCTCACTGGATACATCGTCTTGTAATTCCAGTTCAAATCGGTAGGGCTGGATTCCGTCTTCAGACATATCATTCACACCATAATCAGACTCCTCAAAACTCATGCTCAAATCGCTCTCAGTTGCGGTGTCGTTGTCACTGTCAGTCATGTTGACTGCCATTTCTGTTGAACTTATGACGCCACGAGTAGAAGAGCCTCAATCGCGCGGAAATGACGATTCGGTTGATTAGGTCTGGGCGGACAGGTGAAAATCGATAACTTTGAGCTTTAATAACTCGACACTGGGGCGACGGATTTTGACGGGGTTTTCATTATTATTATTTTTACGGCATTCTTAACATTATATCTAAATATAAAATTACTCTCAGGGTACACTTTAATGGGAAAAAAATATGTATCCACTACACCAAGCACAAATATTGAGGCTCATGATGACATTGACATTGGTGAAACAGAGGAATCCTACCTCCCAGTAACCATTTCTGCAATGCCAACATCTGTCGCAGTGACAATCACCAACACCTGCGTTAATTGTCATTCACTACTTGAAATTGTTCCTCAGCAACAAAATGCAAAAACGATAAAATATGACAAATGTGCAATGCGTCAGCTCAAAGCAAATATGCAAAAATCCATCAGTGCAAAAATCCAGTTCCCTGGTCCACATCCCATTTTCACAGTGACCAGCAACATCCTGTCTACTTGTCTAGAGTCACTAGCTAAAGAGCTTGATACTGCTGACACGGATGCTGTTGAGGAATTTCTTCTGACCAACAAGCTGGAAATCACCTTCATTGAATACTCTTCATTTCTATTAACACTGACGGTTGTTAAGGATAAATAACTTTGTTACAACTACATGGAGGTACATGTAGACATGCCAGGTACATGTGTATACACAGAGGAAAGTGACAAAGTCCTTTACACAGAAAAAAGTTGGGATATGTATAATTTAGTATCACAGATTATTGCAATAGGACTTGTTCAAAACAGGATGTTGGAGAGTCACAATTTCACAAATCTTAACAGTCAAGTTCTGTATATTTTACTACAAAAATAAACTGTTATGCATCTTCGATTCTAATGTGTAGTTGCTTATTGAAATCATAAGAGTAAAAGAGAAGATTTATAAAAAAAAAATTTTTTTTGCTAAAGACCATCAGATCTTCTTGGTCACAGGTCTTGATAATAGCATGATGTAGTGATTGCATTGAGTTTTTTTAGTTAATTGAGTTTATTATTATTTTCAAGTATTCCATCATTATAATTGCAAGGTACAGTCGAACTTCGTTAACTCGAAGACCCCGTTTAACTCGAAGCACTTTGTCGCTCCCGGCAAAATCTTCTCTTTATTCTAGTAATCAAAACTCGGAAAACTCGAATTCGGAAAACTCGAAAAACTCTGTTAATTCGAAGTAAAAATTTGGTCCCAACAACAAAACATATACTGAATATGATCGGCAAACTCGAAGTATAAATTTTGTGCCGGTCAATTACATTGCTGATGCGCTACGCCGTTTTGCAATTTTACCGACAATAGGCTTTACAAGTGAATATTAATGAACAATACTGTAATTAACAATATTCATGTTTTAGAAAAGTGTTTATTGTTATTTAATTGAATGATAAAAGGTAACCGTTAGATCTTATAATTGATAGATATCGGCGATAAAAAGTGAAGTTCTACTCACATTGCGTAATTTCCGTGTCTGTCAGCCATAACAAACACGGACCTGTGTATACACTCAGTGAAGCGGAACTAAGCTATAGAAAACAATCACAACACTGGCCCGGTACTAGGCTTAATGTTTTTACAGGAGTACGCATGAAACGGTCACCTGTGCTCAATTAAACCGACAAATGAGTGAAACAATTATTTAATTAGCGTCGAAGTACTTAGGGCAGAATTAGTGAGGAGATGTCATGAGTGTCACATAGGGATAAAAGCAGGGGTGTTTCTCACCGAAATCATACCCGTTTCGAAATGTCGAAGTCAATTGAGCAATCCAACGAAGGACCCGGTTTATCCGGGGGGATACTTGGATCGATTGATAGGGCGAAGACCGGCGTGAAGAGGAAGATAGAGATGAAGACAGTCGAGACAAAGTACAGAGCGATATTAGCCGTGGAAAAGGGAGACAGGTCAAAATCTGACATTGCTAGAGAATTCGGCATCCCAGCAAATACTTTATCGACATGGTTGAAAGCAAAAGAAAAGATCATGACTGCATACAGCAACGATGGTATAAGCCCCAGCAGAAAGAAGGTAAGAACAGCCAAACATGAAGACACCGAGACTGCGCTACTAAAGTGGTTCACGCATGCCCGAGACAACAATCTTCCGGTAACCGGCCCGATGCTGAAAGCTAAAGCCAAGGATCTGGCCGATAAGATTGGAGAGCAGAACTTCGCCTGTAGCACAGGGTGGCTAAACAGATTCAAAGACCGACACAACATCAGCTTTAAGAAAATCTGCGGCGAAGCTAAATCTGTAGACATCGCCAGTGATGCAATGACAAAGTGGGCCGACGACCTCCGCGTCATTCTGTCCGAGTATCAGCCCCAGGACATATTTAATGCTGATGAAACCGGCATATTTTTCCGACTGCTACCCGACCGTACTCTCGACTTCAAAGGAACCGACTGCCATGGCGGGAAACGGAGTAAGGAGCGGCTAACTGTCCTCGTCTGCGCTAACATGACCGGTACGGAGAAATTACCACTCTTCATCATCGGCAAGTCGGCCAAACCCAGATGTTTTAAGAATGTCCACTCCCTACCGACCGAGTATACGGCCAACAAAAAAGCATGGATGACCGTCGACATTTTCACCAAATGGTTACACCAGATTGACAGGAAGTTCGCAAGGCAGCATCGCCGCATCGCAATGGTTATCGACAACTGTCCAGCTCATCCCCAGATTAAAGACCTGAAAGCCACAAAGCTCATCTTCCTGCCGCCAAACACTACCAGCAAGACACAACCGATGGACCAGGGAGTTATACAGAATCTCAAAGTCCACTACCGGAAACGACTAATCCTTCGTCACATCAAAGCCATGTCTCGTGTTGACATGTAGGCTAATCTAGTTCTCGTTAATTAAAAAGTACTGACAGAACGAAATTGATGGTTTCTAAATAATAAGCAAACTGCACCTAATTTAATTATCAATTCTGGTTTTTCAACGATCAAGAACAAAATATGTTTGC